GAAGAGTGCATCTGTTAAGACTATAGTTGATTTACAATTCAGTTTTCGTGGTGCTGAATTAATTTCTTTAATAATTTCTCAGAGAAACGTTTGATGTCTTTTTAATAATTGTAAAAAGAAGATGTCAAGAATGGATCATTTTGACTCGTCTGGTAGTTTTAGTGTTAAATAATTAGAAAATTCTTATTCGATAACATTCAGCTTATGAGAAATCGTATTTGAACTGTTTAATAACTTGGTGTCAGCATACTTGCTACTAAAATGATATCAGCACATTTGTATCTGTTTCAGTGAATGCCAGTAAAATTCTGCGAATTGAGAATTAGTTTAGTAAGTGGTATTTTCATAGCAGAGTGACAAAAAGTATTTTCGAGGACCTTCCGAAATTTTCGTGATCGGGTAACCAGTGAACGCATCGAGAACGCTCCACAAATAGTAAAAGTCAAGTTAAATCCGATCAGTTTCCACGGCTTGAATCGTGATGAAGTTTTCATGCGGATTCTGATAGCAGGCAGACATTTCTGGTATCGATACGAGATCGAACACCGTTCTTTCCCGACGAGATCCTGAATAAGATCTGCTCCACTTTCCCGGAATAGAGAAATACGATTTCCTTGACTCGCAAGGAAACGACAATGCATCAAAAGATTGATGTTGCCTGCTACCGGAGGAGCTCTCGTCTTGAGAGTATGTATCAATGTCAATGTCAATGTCATGAACAGTGATCAAGTCGCAAAACTATTTCGAATCCATTGTGAGAGAACTACCGAATCATTTATGAGATTTGATCGGAGAAAACTTATTTGCCAATGAAAAGTACACTCTAAACTGAAGGAACAAAGTGTTTGAGTCATTTTTCAACTCAATATTAAATATTTATATTAAGCAGTTAAAAGAATTAATTTGTAATTGTTCGCATAATACTATAAACAAGTAATCATTGAGATATTTGGAATTCGTATCTCAAAATATTTGCAGCATTAATAAAATAACCAATTTGAAATACAAATTCAACGCTAAATCAAAATTATTTCCTCCAAAATATACATATAGAAGAAAAGAAAAGTATATATCGAAACTTATTGACAGTACCAATACTCAATGCACCTAAATAATTTAAGTACTCGCTCTTTCAACGCTTTAATAAAAAAAAATCGTATTGCTCGATAAAAAGAAAACAAGTCTGCATTAAAAAACACTTTCGACCTATCAAGAACCGAATCGATAAACAATAAAAAATAATCACACGCAAGTACTGGACTTAATCCAGAGCCTTTCATCACGCGTCGTTCCCCTATCACTTCCAACCTTTTTATCCACAGGCCAACAGGTAATCTCTCCTTTCACTCAACCCTCTCGTTAAACCTCTCTTCCCTCCGTCAACAGGAAGATTCCAATTGCGGCCAAGTTTCCCCAGCGGCGGTTCACCATGTTGAAATTCGACCAATTACGTCGACTGAAAGTTTCCGCCGTTGAGTGGTAAGGTGGCCAGGGGCGAACCGCTGGTTCGTGTGTATGCTCGCAACCCCCGCAGTGCTCACTACGTGTTTCACTGTGCATACGTGTGTCCGCAGAAGTCGATGGACGAGTTTTGGATGCACGTCCGCGAGTGCCCACGAAAATGCGAATGGAATATCAAAAAGGCCGGCTGATGAAGTCACTCGGTAACAGGTGAAGATTCGATCCTACGTGGCTACTTTACGGTGTTCGCCGCGGCGTCTGTCACCATAGTCTTCTTCCTCGGACTTCGGAGTCCGGTCACGTAGTTGGCTACGGGGGAAGTTCAATTTTTCAGTGTCCTGTTGCGAAGGAATTACGTCTTGCTCCTCGTCCGGCGACAACAATTCGTCGAGAGATCAGACTACTGGCTTAAGCGGTAAGAGGCGCCCGTTTAAGGGACGAATCGTTTCCTATTAGAGTGACTTGCTTGGATTTTCTGCCCGGTAGCAATATGTCCGAAACATTTTAAATTTTACGCGTCCCTCGCTATCGTTGGAGACTGTAAGCATATTGATCGGCTTCTCGATTTCGAATGCATAGTAAGCGGTAACCTATTAAAATTATACTGATTTAAAATGAAAGCGATCAGAACGACATTGCAAGATTCCTCTATACTTTGATTTTAAAATTACAAAGCTTTGCAGTTAACGAGCGGTTGCTTTATAGTTAATGAATCGTTGCCTTGGTCGGAAGCGGCAGATAAAGTGATATCGATAAACTTATCCTTAAACAACATCGTTTCTTTAAAAACTTTCGCTTGTGCTAAAGTACTAAAGTGTTAATGAAAAAAATGTCTTCTTAGTCATTCGTACAACTCTTAGACTACTGTATACACTGTCTCTTATATGGAAAAAAATGTTTTAAATGAGAATTATACGGCATCAAAAATTATGTACATATATTATCATAATTAATATTTTGATATTTCACTTTTCTATTATTTTATGTTTCTAAAATTTAGTGTAACGCAGTCGAACACACGGCAGGTAAGAACATTTCTGTAATTACTAGTTTTCAAAACACATAGCTTGTAAATGTATATATTAAATGGTAGTTGTCATTACAAGTGGACCAGGCAGCTCATACTGTATAGACATAGCAAAACTATCATTAACACCTGTTTGCTCTATTTGCTGCAACCTGACGGATATATGTACTCGTTCACTAACATTTCAATTTATTATTTATTCATTAGTATGTGACATTTTTTCTACACTTCCTTGTACTTTCTAGTGAAAAAGATTTCTTATTTTTACTTCTCTTATCCGCTTTAGAGAAAGTTTACAATTTGGATACATTCTTTATGGATGGATGGAAAATTACGGCTATAACACTTGATACCTTTAAATGAGTATCTACCGTATTGATTGACCATCTGCGACCTACTTTAAACTTTAAGGGTTAAGTTACTTATTCGATAGAGGACTTGGACTTTTTTAATATCGAAAAAGTCGATACAAATTATTGACCGTCTACTTTCTTCAGTTAAGGTTGAGATATTACCAAGGTTTTATTCGATTAATTACCATCATCGCGTTGGAGTCTTGGGAAAAAGAATTGCCAATTAATTGTCGGTAATGGGGGTATTTTGCTGAAAAAAGGGTGAATGAAGCAATAAGGTTATCACATGAACTGTATATAGATATAAGAAGCGAAGAATGACAAATTAAGTTATACGACACTTAATTAGCACAGACTGTTAAATTGAATTTATCAGTGGCAGAGTGTCATGCGTTAACTACTTTACAGAGGCAGGATCTTGTATTGAGAGTACGACCAAAAAGAATGTTCGGAGGCGTTAATTAGTCGTAGAAGTAATTAAAACTCGGTTAATTCCGTGCACTCTGTCAAAGATTAACTTCACTTCGCTGGATAAATGTTCTCTAGCGGAGGGACACTTTTTTGCGCTCCTCTCTCATCTTGAAAGAAAAACCAGCGTAAAAAAGTGCGCAGCAGCCGTGAGATAAATTTAATTACATGTTTAAACATCCCCGCCTCTGCGAATGTCCAGATAAATCGTCGAAAATTCGCCCCAATTTTACAACTAATTTTTGGGAACCTATTTTTATACAAATTACGTGTGAAGAGTATTTTGTCTGTAGACGTTATAACTAGAATTGGATAATATTGAATTAATATCTATTACAATTGATAAATTAATTAAATAAAATTAATTTGACGATGAAAAAGACGTAGTGACGTTTCTTTTTTAAAATTGAATAAGTGATTAATTTTTATATGTCTATGAATGTAGGGCTAAAAAATGATTAACTTCTGTTTGACACGTTTATAAAAGTTTTCCTACATATGTATTTAAAGTTACTAAGGATTAAATTGTCCATAAAAATTAATGTGGATGTAACCGAATAATTCAAAACGTTTTAAATTTTAATTGCTGAAAAATTTTTCAAACTTTAGTTACTGCGAAACATGCATACACCGACTTCGATGAAATTTATAGACGAGATAAATCTCTGGAAAATATTTGTCATGCATCTTTTTCAATGGTAAGTTTTAACGAAAATATCAAAAGTTGTACCACTTGTTTAACCACTTGACCTGTACCAATTTCGGATTTGATAGAATTTCCTCGGAAAATCTCCGATCAGGCGTACTAAATTTAAACGCCAGCTTGTACGAAAGAGGCACATTAATTAGGGTTCAGTCATTAATTCACAATCTATTATAAATTCTATATTATAAATATTAATTTTCTCAAAATATATAATCTATAATATACGAATAAAAGTTAATAAGAAAATGACTAACATTTAGTAAAAAAAATCTAAATTTTATTCAAAATTAGAAAGTTAAAATTTTTAATATATTAATTAGATATAAGGTTCCTCGTTTTTATGTTGTTTATGAATGAAGAACCAATACAAAATCCTGCAATTTTATGTCAAAATTTCAATGAATATATTTTCAGCCTCCAATTTTAAAAATCATTTTTATCCTTCTAACAGGAATTGTTGATAAAGAACACATGATCCGAATATTTTTTCGAGGTCTATTTACATTAAATTCCATCAAAATTAACGCGTACGGAATTGATATTTTATTAAACTTAGTAAAAGCATTGAACATATAACAGTTTTTCTATTATTCTATACAAAAATTGAGGTTGCTATTCATCTCCTGTACGTGAAATGGCTTTGAATTTTGTTATACATTATATAGTCATTATTCATCATAAATTATAAAACAGTTCCTTTGCACAGTAAAGTTCAAGGAAAGATAATTTTAATACTGTCAATTCCTTCGTAATTATCAGCTTTTATAATTATCTCACAAAAAGAGGATTATTTTATGTTCAGCACAAGAAAATGTAGAAACTAAATTAAAATTAGCATTGAATGGTTTGATATAAGAATTTTCACCTTTTTGTTTTTATGTTTCGAATACAGTGTAATTTACATATTCGAGAAACTTTAAATAAAATTTCAAAAACAATTCAATGATGTTAAAAACAGAGTTGAGAAGTATACTTTTGTACTTACCGATTCTGATAACCGGCGGCAGCGACATGGCAGTAGTAACCAAGACGACAATGATGGCGAACAACAGTGCCATTGTGTCCGTCGTAACTTCAACTCGCACCTGACTATGACATCGTTCTTGCGTACTCCGTCGCGAGGCAAAATACGATGCTTTCAAACAACAGATACATGTACACACGGGACCGTTTTCACGGACACTTCAACACAGAAACGCACATTTTTGGGCCAAGACACGCGCCGATGAAAATCCTCACTGTACCGTCATTGGCTGCACCTGAAAATATACAATAGAAGATTTCGAAAATACATAAAGAATGAAGTTATTTCTATTTCAACAAAGATTGCTTAAATTTGCATATTTCTACATTTGCATTTATGATTGCTTTATTGAAGTAAGTCCAGTTTTAACCTGTTAATCAAGTCATTTCTTAACTATGAATACATAAACAAACATATAATTTATTTCACAATGGCACGAATAAATATTCACACTACTTTCATGAAAACATTATGGCATAATATATTACAAGAATCTCTATATAAGTAAACAAGAGGATCAGATGTTAGTCAAATATAAGGAGAAGTAGAAGTACTCATTGCCTAACCTCATTCTTTCATCACATACACACGGTTTTCTAGAATTTTTAATTGTTCATAAAGAAAGAAATAAGTTGTTTCAAACATAACCTATATATCAATCATAAATGTATCGTTTAGTTGATAAGTTTTCCGTCACGAATTTAAAACTCAAATTCGTAGAATGAAAACAGAGCACACTTCGCTTAATTGAGGACCGTGTCAACGCCTTCTCAACTGTACACGCGGCCATATTGGTCTGCTAGTGACTTACCAGTATGGCGGAGACAATAGTTTAAGAGCTCTTTGTCACGTGATTGTTAGACTAATAACATTCAAATTATTGTCATCTGAAGAAACATCGATAACTGGACAACCCACCCAGCACAGAAAATTTGAAATAATTTAATGTTTGTGTAAAGGAAAATCGTGAAAACTGTGAAAATCTAATGAACTAATGGAACATGAAATTCTAGTCCAAGAATGCAGCCCCAAAGAAGAATTCGACATGGTAAGTCTCAATACGTTCAACAATTCTTTCTCTTTAATCATTATGTTACCAACTAAACACATATTGCGCTGCAATATTTCTGCTTAAATCTCTTACTTTCGAAGTACAAATTAACGCAGGAGTGTTAAAAAGCTGAAGATCCAAAACAATGTTGTCAAATTTTTGTAAGAACATACTAAATTGTATAGATGAAAATTGAAAAATGTTTATTCAAGAACCCAATTGCTAACAGAAGGATTAATATATCGAAGTTCTTTATTACTTCTGTCGAAATCGCCTGCTTTTAATTGCACAATGACACGCATAAAGCAATACATCAAAAGTCATAAAATGATTAAATAAATTCGTTCGACGCTTACACCAAAATTAATCCAAAGACACTAAAACTTTTCACGAAATTCAGTTTCGCATTCGACGAATCCGCATTAATTAAACTTCATCACGAATTAAAATCCGCGTGCAAGTGCGATTCAGCGTTCACTTGGATACCCATCTCCGTGACATAATGGTCTGATAATTCAGACACAAGATACTTTTTCCATTTTCACCGATATTGAAAGGCACGAGTCGAGTTTCGTGAAAGGCGAAAGCAGACCCAGACGGCCGACATTCTCATTAAACGTCGATCGTTGAAAAATGTCGGGGAGTCTCTCTCGGATCGCCGGCTAATACGGTCGGGAGTCAATGGCGGACGGGCGCGCACGATCCGTTGACTAAACACACACATTTCCCGGAGCAGCCGTGACCGAATGGATATCACCACCTATCGGCTATAATTTCGCGGACATCGCGGCCGGACTTTACGTCCGCCTTCCACGTGTGTACAAGTTCTGGGTGATACCTAATGGACGTCATCAGTTTAATGGAAACCCTCCAAGTACGTGCGCGCCGATGCGCACGAATCTCGGTACCATCCACAGTCCGATTACTCTGCGTGAAAAACGGCACGGGATTGCTGAAAATGGTCGTCGACGTACCGGGAAATTTAAGACGGTAATTCAAACGGATCAATGTGCTCCTTATGCCCTTCCGCGACTATGAATAAATGACTCGTCATTAGGACACCAATTCCATTGGAGAGCTACGGATCGTTTCAGTATCAAAGTGAGTTCTATAGGGCAGTTTATTCCGATCTAAGATTGCCTGAGAGTGTCCAAGGGATTTTGGAATACGGTCTACCGTGGAAATGAATTGTCTTCGAAGCGAATAATGCAGTTAGTTCAAAGGAATAAATGTTATAAAAATACTTTTATTACTCTAATTCAAGAGAAGGAAGAATAGATGTTGGGTAGATATTTATTTTGTCTGTTGAAGCTTACTAATGTATGGTTCAGAATAAATTCAGCAATTGAAGACACTTGTCGTATTGGGTTTTGCATGTTTATGGCCAGGGAATTCCAGGTATTTGTGAATAAATTTTATTCAACTCCCTGTGGAAGGTCTTTTTTAGTTGTTTGCTTTATGCTCACGAAAGTTCTACGCAGCCTTTTCATTCCTGAAAGTGTCATCACGTACAATAACTAGTACCGAGCGTTCACCGGACGAGTTAATTGACTTAAGTGTCATCGTGATCGCAGTCAACGTTTGCAACGGAAAAAGTAGCATATTCGCGCCGTGCAAACTTCTCGTGGGGAGTTCTGTCCCATTTCCATAGCAGCAGGTAGCACGTCAATAGGATTACGCGCGTACAATTTTACTGGTGTAAGATATTGTCGCTGATGAGAGTAACGGTGCTGGTAAAATGAAACCAGGCTCGACGTTTTGGCCAACTCCGTAATTACGTTTCGGAACCAGTAATTTGAAAAACAAGTGCGGCATAATTTATCGAGAGGCGACGGCTTTGTAGTGATGTAATGTAATTAAAAGTTCTTTAACGCGACCATATCGAGCTACAAATTTTGTGTTTGCCGAAGCGATGAGCATTAAAAAGTATAAAGGGAATCACCTTTGATGTTGCGCGTTCAATTACGGAAATGTTAGCTACTTGACTAAATACATTGACAGAACATTCAATGGCAAATCAGATCGGGGATACAAATTTCGATTAAAGCATTATTCCGTTCAATATCACCCAGATATATTTAGTTTAAATATAAAACATTTAAATTTTAAGATTTAAATATATCAATTTTTTTGTATTCTTCAGTTCTTCATGTAGAAAGTAATGTACATGTCTTTCTAATGTAAATACATTCATTTGTATCATTTAAATTCTACTTCAATTGAACATGCATTTATATTCAACAAATATGTTATATCCAGTTCATTAGATGAGAATATGAAACTTTTTATAACATTTAAATTTGTGACAAACGAATTTCTTAACATAAAATTTCATGATAAATTCCATAAATTTAACTTTCAAAGATTACATCATACATCCTAAGCTATTGTTTATAAACTTATGGGAAGGAAGCACATTATATTTAATGAAGTAACTATAAAGTATATAGAATTTGAAATCAAAGTTGGTGCTTTGATATAGGATTCAACAGTACAAACACGTTATTTAGTATTCTTCGATCTTTCTGTAATAAACCATGGCGGTCAAATGACATTAAAAAAATAATCTGAAAATGCAATTGAGTTAACTTCCTGGATGCTTTAAAATTTCTACCGCTTTAAGGATGACTTCCATAGATGGTCCCTTGTAACTTGTCCTGTATTTCACGGGGTTAAACAAGGGAGGTAAGAATCGTAGGGGGTGAAACAAGGGAAGAAAGAATCGTAGGGGGTGGAGGTCGCAAGTTTAATCCTCCCTTCGTTTCTTGAAGGGTACTGGAATGTCGTTTTTTTATTTTCGGAGAATTCCCGACGCTTCATCCCCTTATCGTTTCATCCGACTGTGTCGGTCAAGCATGGTGGTACCTGTCAGCTGAGAGTTGTTTTCAAAATCCTCTGGGTGTAGTAGAAAGTCGATGGTGAATGGTTGTACTATCCACAACTGATCGATCATGTCGATGTTTTGTCTTTCCTAGCATGCGAATTACTTATTGCAAAGCGTACTCTTTTCTTCCACGATTTTTGAAAAATATTTATCTTATTAAAGCACATATTACCTTATTAAGGTTGAGTACCATGCAGTTTTATTACGTTATATAAAGTTTTAGAAAACTTATATCTACATTAATTACAAATTCTTTTACTTGAAAACACCTCGAAAATGCAGTCTTATTCAGAAGGAAATTAATAGTTTCGGTATTGAATCTAAATTCACAATATACAAATGTGAAAAGAAATATAATGAGTTAGATATGTATTCATAAAAAACAAGACCAGACGTGAATCCTCACACGTAACCTCAATACATTACATTTATAATACTACCAGAAAGCTTCTTAAAGCCTCATCATGAAGTCCACTTTTACAATGCAAATGTATTTACAAGATAAAAGGGTGGCTTATACGAATATATCTAGAGAATTTGCAGAGAATTTGTTGTTTTAAAACTTGCCTGCAGCAGAGAAACATTTGCATAAAACAATTTCGTGAATAATACCTTGTCATACACTGCATGAAAATTTAGTAGAAAGAACCAAGAAATGGCAAGAGGGATGAGAAACTTACAATTAACTCGTAAGTAGAGGTGGACCGTCAGTGGTCAGACGTACTTCGTGCTTACCGTGTTTCTCTTGCAACGTCTGGAAATCTAACTGTATAGTGAAAATAAACAGAAACTCAAATGTTAACTTATTTTAACCCCTTCGTTTCTATAGACTAGATATTTCACAACGTTATGTCGTTCGTGAAATTCTATACGACGAAATCTTTCAATACGATATATGCTTCTTCATTAGAATTTGGCATATCTCGTTCAACGATGTATAAATATATGAATGATCATCATCAGAACTAATGTTACGTTATAATTCTTACGAAAACAATTTGTGTCTTTCTGTATCTTATGTTCTTCACAAAGTTACGAGCTATATTATCCATAACAACTCATAGACGGCATTGTATAAGATTTCTCGTCCATAATATCTCATGAACGACAATACGTCGCAGGATATTTCGGCCTTGGTAGCGAAGAGATTTGAACGACTTCTATAGGGGAAAATCACAACGCCTCCTCCCCCCGCGCCACTCTAATAAAACACCAAAGAAACTAAAACCGTTTATATACCCCATCGTACACAAGAAGTTGAAAGGATAAAAATAAAATTAAAAAGCATTTCCAATCATGA